CGAAGGGAGAAATAACCCTACCAGTAAACACTGTTGGGACCACCCAGGAAATAAAATTTTACGTGATCGAGGGGCATATGAGGTACAACGCCTTATTCGGGAGGCCATGGGTCAACAACATAAGGATGGTGCCTTCGACCCCACATCAGGTATTGAAGTTTCCAAGATATAAAATGGTCTATGGAAAACAACCGGCCGCAAAGGATATGTTAGAAGTAACCCCAGTGCCCACGGTCACGATATCAAAAAGTGGGGGACTAGTCGAAGAGAAGGAAACCAAATAGAAATCAACGATCCCGACCCTAACCGGGCTGGGAAAACAGAAGGAGCACACAACAAGTGAGGAGGATAATTACGGTGTGCTAAGATCCATTATAGCACCCGATGATTCCGATGCCATCAAATCGACAATCGAGTACCTACCAGATAGAAAGGTATACTTGGGCACGGGGTTAACTCCCAAGCTCAGGAAAAAACTTACCGATTTCCTTAAAGCTAATGCCGATTGTTTTGCCTCATCCCAATTAGATATGACAAGGATCCCACCAGAGGTGAAAACTTACAAATTGAGCTTGGATAAAAAATTTCACATGGTCAAATAGAAGAAAAGGCCGCAGTCCGAGATAAAACATGAATTCATCTAAGATGAGGTATTTAAACTTCTGAAAATATGTTCTATCCGAGAAGTTAAATACCTGGATTAGCCAGCTAACATAGTGGTCGTTCCTAAAAAAGGAAAAAAATATCGAATGTGTGTAGATTATAAGGACCTAAACAAGGCATGTTCAAAGGATTCATTTCCTTTGCCTAATAACAACCAAATGATCGATGCGATGGTCAGGCACGAGATACTGGATTTTCTTAATGCCTATTCTGGGTACAACCAAATTCAGATGGACTCAGGCGAGCAAGAAAAGATTTTTTTATAACTAAATTCGGCACCTACTATTACAATGTAATGTCGTTTAGGCTAAAAAATGCTAGTGCCATGTATCAACGCCTAGTTAACTGGATGTTCAAAGAACAAATAGGACTATCAATGAAAGTTTATATTGATGATATATTAGGTAAGTCCTTACGAGCAGAGGACCATTTGATGTATTTACAAGAAACCTTCGACATACTGAGGAAATAAACCATGAAGGTGAACCCAGAGAAGTGTGCCTTCAGGATTGGAAGAAGTTATTCGACTTCATGGTATCCAACCGGGGTATAGAGATCAACTCGGACAAGATAAAATCCATAGAAGATATCACAATAGTTGACAATGTCAAGGTAGTACAAAGATTGACTGGACGGATAACAGTATTAGGTCGATCTATTTTGAGGTCGTCTGACAAAAGCCATGGATTTTTCTTATTATTGAAAAAGAAGAATGACTTCTCTTGGACCTCGGAATGCCATCAGGATTTAGAAGAACTCAAACGATACCTACGAGCCCTCCTTTGTTGCACACTCTGAAGGCGAACGAGCAACTATACCTTTACTTGGCAGTTTCTGAGGTAGAGGTAAGTGGTGTTCTGGTTCGGGAAGAAGAAGGTACGCAGTTTCCTATTTACTATGGTAGTAGAACCCTGGGCGATGCCAAAACAAGGTATCCACACTTAGAGAAATTAGCACTCGTCTTATTGAGCGCATCTAGGAAATTAAAAGTGTACTTTTAGTATCACCCATGTGTGTCGTGACCTCGTACCTACTAAGGAATGTTATGCATAAAACCGATCTATCGGGACAACTGGCCAAATGGGCCATCAATATTAGCAGGTATGATATCAAGTATAAATCTCGAACTACTAAAAATCTCCGATTTTGACAGACTTCGTAGTCGAATTTACGCCGGCCTTGATCCTTGAGGTCGAAAAAAGAATTACAGCTCGCTTCGGGGACCAGCTCGGGGGTTTCGACCCTATTCACATATGGTACTTCTGATGTTAGGCTAGAAACCTGTGTTTTAGCCGTAGTATTGCACTCTAATTACTACATTTTATGTATGTTTGAGCTTAAATGATAGTTAATTACACTTAGTACATGTTGTATGCCTTGTAGGAAGTGATTCCGAGTTCAAAAGATAATTTATAGCTAAATCGATCATTTTGGAGCTTTGAAGTTGCGTAAAAGTCTAATAAAGTAAGCAGGAATCGTGTTTGAAGGTCCTGTACCAAGTTTGGATGTTAAAAGAGGATGAAACACATTGCCGCCCTGCATGGGGCACCGCAGTGTAAAAATGGCTTGACAAGAAAAATGCACGTCCGTTGGTAATCTCCACAAGCACATCGCGGGGCGCGGCGTGCCTGTGCAAAGTTTACAAAGCCAGGGTCCTATTTCGTGCAGGAAAAGGTGTTTCGTCTGTACCCGACCCTACTTGGCATAAGTACATGTAAAAATGCTATTGTGAGAACTTTTGACACACCTTAGACCTAGGGAGACTAGTTTGAAACGGTGAAGACGTTTGGAGCATTTTGGAGGAGAAAATTATCGAGTTCTTCGTTCCTTCATCTTTTCTTTGTAATTTGTTTATGCAAAATACTTGGAAAATTATTGCTACGAACATGAGTGGCTAACCACTCTAGTTTCTAGGGTTGTGGTTGACATGATTATTAACGTTTATTAATTACATCTCTGTTAATTCGGATTATCATCTTGTGGTTGTTTCTTTAATTCTAGTTTTAAATTGTGAATTGTTGTAGCTACCATTTCACCCTACTATCTATGCTATACATGGGAAAGCCATGTTTAGATTATAGTAGAATTAAAGAGAGCTTGTTTCTGAATCCGTGGCTCGGGGAAAGATTTAACGGTTAGAATAGGAATATGCCTAACAATCTTGCTTAGTTGAATATCATATTATATTCGTTCATGATAAATTCAATATCATAGGAATATAGATCTGATATATTATGGATAGACGGATAGTATTGTGGGAACATGCTATTCATATAATGATCCGGTTAACTGGCAACCATAGATAATCTGGATTAACGAGTGTGGTTATTGAACTTAATAGGATTGATAAACAAACCACAACCCTAGAATCTTCATCTCCTCTTAATTAAAGTATCATCATACCCATTTGCATTCCTATTGATTTAGTTGTTACTTGTTTAATTTCTATAATAGTAGATTAATAGAAAAAAATCACTCTTGATTATCTTGGACAATTAATTGATTTTAGTTTGCTTAGTTAACGATCATTCTAAGTCTCTGTGATTTTGACATCCTACTTTTGAGTCACTTTATTATTTGACGACCACATATACTTCCGTGTATGTTTGGTCCCAACAAGCTTTTGGCACCGTTGTCGGGGACTTAGTTATTGATTGTTTATTTAAGTTAAGCTTTTATTCGTTATTTGTTCAAATTTTAATTTTTAGTTTGTTTATTTGTGATAATGCAAGCTCTTTTCTTGAATGCAGCGGAGTAGAAGCGCAAAAAATCTCCTTCCTCCTGATCATGAAATCGAACGAACACTTCATAGAGTGAGGAGTGAAGTCGAAGCTAGAGCTAGAATTGAAAGAGAGTTGGACATCATAGTTCAACCACAACCAATAGAGATGGCAGGTAATGAAGAGCGTCTGGTGATAGAAGCTGCAAGGCCCAATCTGGCTAATATGACTCAAGCGATTGTGAAGCCTGATATCACGGGTCACTTTGAACTCAAACAGTATATGGTACAGCTGATTCAATCCACAGGGCAATATGTGGGTCTATCTCATGAAGACCCGCAGAGACACATTCAAAACTTCCTGGAAATTACAGACACTTACAATTATCCGAACGTGCCCAAGGACTATGTCAGGCTGACAATGTTTCCCCTTTCATTGTTGGGGGAAGCTAAGGAATGGTTGCAAAAGGAGCCCGCGAACTCAATCAACACTTGGGATGATCTTGCAAGGAAATTCTTAATCCAATTTTTTCCCACTAAGAAGACAAAGTCCCCGAGGAGCCATATTCTTGGATTTCAACAACGAGATGGTGAGACTCTTCATCAAGCTTGGGAAAGATATAAGAAGCTACTCAGAGACTATCCATATCATTGTCAAACTGATGAGGTATTGGGTCACACTTTCGTTGATGGGTTAGACGAGACATCAAAGATGAATCTTGACTCAGCATACAGGGGTAGCTGCATGGCAAGACCATACAATGAGATCCAGATCCTGCTAAATAATTTCACTGCTAATGATAATAATTGGCAAGGAGATGGGAACCACGAAGAGCAGTTAAACAAAAGGCAACATGTGTGATAGAGCTTGATGATTTCTTAGCCATGAGGGCAGATATAGCGAGATTAGAAAATCAAATGAATAAAATGACAATGCACCAAGCACAACAGTTGTAGCATGTGCAACAAATGTCTACTTGCTGCGAGTTATATGGTGAAGGTCACACAAGTGACATATTCCCCGTGAATCTTGAATTTATCTACTATGTAGGGCAACAAGCTAGAGGGACGATGAGTCAAAATGCTCAATATGTTAACAAATACAATCCAAACTAGAGGAATCATCCTAACTTCTCTTGGGGTGGAAATCAGAATATAAGGACTCTAGCTAACTACAATCAACCACCTAAACCACCACAACAAGCTAAAGAGAGTTTGACTGACATGATGAAAATGCTCTTGATAGACAATCAGAAAGTTATGGCTGAGAAACAACAAGTTAGGGCTGAGAGTCAACAATTACGCATAGAGTTCAAAAATATAGAGAGGCAGTTTGGGCAAATGGCTAACAATCACAATACTAGACCTACTAGATCTCTCCCAAGTGATACAGATAAAAATCAATGCAGTGACTTTGAGAAATGGGAGAGAGTTGATAGAAGTGCCTAAGAAGAAAATATAGCAGTCTGGGCTCGAAGAAGAAAGATTGCCAAAACCTGTAGAGGTAGATAAGAGAAACAAAACAGAGTCTAAGAAAATATCAGAGAGGATGCCAACCCCTTTTCCTCAAAGATTGAGAAACAAGAATGAAGACCACATGTTTCACAAATTCCTAGATATGCTGAAGCAGATACACTTGAACATCCTTTTGGTGGACATGCTCCGTGAGGTACCAAAATATACAAAATATATTAAGGATATAGTGGCAAATAAAAGGAGGTTAACTGAGTTTGAGACCATTGCACTTACTGAGGAGTGCACTTCCAGGATTCAACTTAAGCTTTCACAAAAGCTCAAGGATTTGGGTAGTTTTACCATCCCCATGAGGATTGGTGAAATTGATGTCGGTAGAGCCTTATGTGATTTGGGTGCAAGTATCAATCTGATGTCGTTGTTAGTGTTCAAACAATTGGTCTTAGGAGCGTCGAGACCGACCACGGTGATGCTATAGTTAGCTGATAGATCTTATATTTATCCTGAGGGGTTAATTGAGGACTTCTTGTTGTATATTGGGAATTTTATTTTCCCTGCAGATTTTATCATCCTGGACTACGAGGCTGATAAGTTAGTTCCTATCATCTTGGGACGACCTCTCTTGTCCACTGGAGATGCAATTATCAAAGTCCAAGAAGGTAAGATGATCTTGAGGGTTGACAATGCAGAAGTAGTCTTCAATGTATATCGAGCCATTCAGTTGCCTCATCATTACGAGGACCCAACCATGATTTCTACAATGGAGATAAATGAACCAGCTGTAAAGCCAACTTTAATTATTGATGATGCACTAGAAAAAACATTGATATTGTTCAATCACTTGGAACTTGAAGAAGAGGTTGAGGAGATATTGCAAATTCTTGATGCATCCTGCGAATACATAAGAGAATAATCCTAGTTTGAGCCTCTGGATAAGCCAATCGGCTCGCCCCCTAAACCCTCAGTTGAGGAGGCCCCAAAACTGGAACTTAAACCCTTACCATCTCATCTTCATTATGTGTATTTGGGAAGTTCTAACACTTTACCTGTGATTGTTTCGTCTCATTTGTCTAAATTGCAGCAAGAGAAGCTCTTAAGGTGGCTGAGGGAGCACAAGCATGTGTAAAGCTCCAGAAAATTTTGCTTAGTAATTTAAGATTTCGTGGTGCCAAGGTAGGCTAATTATTTTATCTTGTGTGAAAATAAGGATTAATGATATTATGGATATCATTTGGATATGGTAATAAGTGTATAAGTCTTATTATAATTGATTTAGGGTCTAAGGAGAATCCTAAGTCCAAGACAAGTTGGAAAATTACCAAATAGACTAAAGTTGTAAATGAGTACGCACAAGACCTCACTTTGGACAAGTATATCTATATTTATATATGGTTTTGTGCGATTCACAACCAATCAAATGAAAGGTCTTTGAATCTTGTTTCCAACGCATCAAACCATTCGTCATTTGGACACTCATACCAGAAGTTATGACCAAATTACCAAAAGCAGCGCAGCATTTTTCACTACCGGGGCGCCCCATGCGCTATGGGGAAGTACAAAGAGCATCCAAAAACGTTTTCTGAGCACTTTTTTCATAACCGCATCGCCCCATGCGGCGCCCCACGTGGCGCGGCTATATAAAATTGGGTTTTGTTATAAAACGACCTCATTTCGTCAAATAGATGGAAGGAACCATTTCTTGAGCAAAGATCAGATACATTTAGAGAGAGAGAATGCCCTAGGGTGGGAAAGTGTTCCTCATCAATTCTTCTACAACTCTTGCTCAAATCTTGAAGGATTAACAAGGAAAACCACACTAGGTCTTCATCCTTGAGGTAAGATTCTATACTCTAACCCTTAATTTCGAATTTTAACTAAAGGCGGGTATTTATCAAGAAAGTTTGTGGGTATTGGAGTTATTATCTTGTTTGCATGTGTTGTCAAAAGGTGTAGGAACATGGTTGAGCTAGAAATGGAAAAGTATGGTTGTGGGTTGATGAAATCCTCTATAAAAGGACCATAAATATTTGATGTTCATATGGTGTTTGATAAAATGCTCAAATGAGCTAGAATTATGAATATCTTCATAATGTGTATTCAATTTTGTTATGTCTCGAAGTAGATGGGCATTGCTAGAATTTCCAGAATGTTGTAGTAACTTAAGGAAAAGTTCTTTGAGGTATGTATGGCTAAAACCTCCTTTTATTAGAAATTGTGCTTCGTTGGCGTTTATGAAAGTGTGGTAAGATTTGAATTTGTTAATGTATTGATTGTTATTGCGCATTAATTAATTTGCAATTAACTACACATATACATTAAGGATGTGCCTCAATGTGAGTAATGTAGCATTCTTGATAATTAGAGAAGTATGAAGAATTCAATTATGTGTTGAAATGCTTAGTCTATAAGCCAAGATAGAAACTGAGAATTATTCATGCTTGCTATGTGCCCACTTACTTGTACTGCAACTTGAATTACTTTTGTTTGTGCCTATGATCACAACCTCCAAGATGAATACTGAAAATGGAAAACGATGTGATAATGGTGGCCCTGAGTGCCAAGGAATTGATATGATATATATATGAAATAAAAATTTAGATGTGATGACTAATGAGAAAGGAACAACGCTTAGATAAGGCGGCTTAGCCGATCGGGTCGTGATCGGACACCATACCGCACACATGGTGGTAATGTGCTGATATTGAATTCTGGATAAGGAAAATGAAATAGTGATTGAGATATATGCCTCCAATGAGGAAACTTAGCCGGTCGGGTCATGATCGGACTCCGCTCAAGATAGCGGTGGTATTGAGAACATTGATGAAGATATGAAAGAAATGCCCCAAACTAAGTTTTGGAAATTATATGAAGGATTGAATGAATTGCATATTTGATTTACTCATGTGATTTACTTGTACTTGCTTGATAGTTCTTTCTAGTAAAATGGTGTTTAGTTATACATACTAGTGTTATTCGATGGCACTAACGTCCCTTTTGTCGGGGGTACTACATTTTTTTATGAATGTAGGTGGCTCCATTGCGGATATTGCCGATCGCGCATAGCGGAATACCTTCTTCTCAAAGTCTTGGTGAGCCCCTTTCTCCTTCAAGGGGTTATATTGTACATCTTCTTATTTTGGACTTTCACTTTTGCGGTATGGCCGGGGCCTTGTTGCCGGCATTGTTATCACGTCTTTTGTATTATTAGAGGCTCCGTAGACGTTTGTATGGGTTATGTATGGGTATTAGATAGGTCAATGGACCATGTTGTAACCTTGTACTCTTGCTTTCTTCTACACTATAACTTGTATGGAACCTTGGAAGTTTAACCACGTTTTAAATGTTGTGATATAAAATGAACTAATATGTTGAATGTACTATCTCTTCTAGTTTAAATAAAGGTAAGCATGGCTTTCTTATTCCTGTCGAGTTGGGTAGATAGCGGTTTATAAGGCTTGCTCAATTAGGTTCACTCGATTGAGCGCCGGTCGCGCCTCCCGAAGTTGGGGCGTGACAAACTTGGTATCAGAGCCTAAGGTTTTAAAGTGTCCTGGGATGTCTCGGAGCCGTGTCTAGTAGAGTCCTTCTTATCGGTATGTTGTCAACCACATCTATAATTTGGAGGCTACATGGACATTTAGGAATATTACCCTTCTTCAACACTCCAGATCGTGCGATAAAGCTTGACTATAAGATTGTCTTCTAACTCGTGCGTTGAGATTCGAGATAAGTTTAAACGCTCTTTCGTCTATTTCAAGTAATGTTGTCATATGGAATGACCAATGGGAAAGGCCTGAATATTAAGGAGATGGCACGTGTATCATGTTGAACAAATTGTATGGATATATGAGATACGTACATAGTACCAGAAGCATACTTTATATGAGAAAAATGTTTAAATTGATCACCCACCTCCAAAGAGACATTGACTTGATAAATGAGATGCAAGCTTATATGGCACCAGTTGATAGTGTGGGAAGCATGTATATGATCCTATGGTGTAAAAGAAAAATTTGTTATATAAGCATGTGATATATGTAAGGCATGACCAGGAGAGTAATGACAAATATGTAGGTCTCTTACGGGAGACAAGAAGTCATGAAATGAGAGTCAATTTAACCCATAATGAGAAGACCCTTATGCTATGAATGTTATAAGAATCCCATAAGTGTATGAAGTTGTGTTACACTCCTAAAGGATATTGACATGAGGAATTGGAATCCCAAGTCCGTGTGGTTAAATAAGAGTAGAGAAATTATGAGGTTAATACAATGCTGACTTCAATCTCCCTAATAGTCGAACATATATGTGAGGGATAGAGATATGAAACATATATCCATGAAGTTGCTAAATCAAGACTTGTGTCAAAATCCGGGGCATTCGCCCTAAGTGGGGGAGGAAGGGCCATAGTAAGGCCACTTAAATACAATGAAATAAGAGTAAGACCATGTAGCTATGATATTTGAATATTTTGTTGAAGACATGCGTAGTCTAGAAAGGTGATAATGGATAACGTGATTATCTGAAAGGATATGCTAATGATATACCACTAGTACCCCCAAAAAATGGAAGGTTAAGGAAGGTAAATTCTTCATACATGGCAATGTGAATGATTGGGTCAACGATCCTAGAAACTAAGAGTATATTTGTAAAGGGATTTTATACTTGTTAGAGGGTTAGGAACAATGGAACCTAAGGAAGTAATATAAGCCAAATATGGAAAGTTGCGAGTTTTTAGAATGGGTTAATCATAGATCTATGATTTAACCAAAGTACCAAGGCGTTAAGAAAGGCGAAACGAGTGGGATAAATAAATATGATGCTATAATAACCAAAGAGGATATTTGGGCTTGATGGAGAGCCTCTAAAGAATCTTACAAGCAAAGAAGTGTTACATGATATGACGATGAACACACTTTCCCACGAGTATCCTAACAAGAGTTAAGAGGTGAGCGGGTAAAAAATATTAAGGAAAAAGACCACGTAACATGTGGAAGAGTGTGTGGCTATTCACTAGCTAGGAATAATGAGGCGAGAAGAAATAAGAAGAAAATCTATAAATTGAGATGTCCATGGTTATCGCAAAATAGTTCGTACCAGAATAGTGGACTCGTCTGGAGCACAAGTGTTAATAAAAGGTATAAAGGACTAACTGTAATGTTACCGACTTGAGTAACACTGAATATCAACTAAAATATTTAGAGGGAGTTCATGTCTATATATTACAATGGAAAGTGAGACTACTGGTGGTGAAATAGTGGCGTGATAAACTCAACAAACCAGACACAATGATACCATGAGTCTATGAGGTGCAGACAAGTGCGTGGCACAATAAGGCTATCTACTATGTATTATAACAAAATGGAATGGGAATGAATGTCCGTATCACAAAGAAAAGATAGTACTAATGTATTGGCTAGACCGAAAGGGAGAATAAAAAGGGCAAAACAACACAATCTACCCAAAGAACAAAGGGAAATGTTTGAAATATAGTGAGAGAAGATGAACACTTGTTACGAATCAAACATGTTTAAGATGATAGCTCTTAAGCCACAATACGAACAAACACGATTGGTAGCTACAATATTCGGAATAAGGTGAATTACTTATTGAGGATGGAGTAATTCTTACACTTAGAAGGAAAACAAGAAGTTTTTGTTGAAGAATTTAGGAAGATTTCAAGATTTTGTTCAGGCCAGTGCTCTTTCTGAGTTGAATGTGTACTAAGGTTGTTGATACGTGTTTTGGGAAGTGTTTAAAGTATGGAGGGATCATGAGAATGTTCACAAAGGAAGTGGAGTGGTTTCTTAAATCCTATAAGGCACACAAGGAGGAAAGAGGTTGACTAGGAAAGGTCTGAGCACAATGTTACATTACATTTGATGTAATATCGTGCATGTTGATGATATTAAG